AAGGTCGGTGTACCCAGGAGCGGGGAGGCGCTGCCGCGGAGGGCGGACGGGGCGACCGGTGCCGTGAGCGGCGGCATCCTCGATGCGCCCGGCAGGCAGGGAGGAAGGCAGAGAGAGGAGCAGAAACCTCCGCCGCCTCCGCTGGCCTCTCCCTGCTTTGTCCCTGTGGAAGAGCCCAGTCGAGCTTCCCTTCCCACCCTGCCTGCCTTGCCTTCCCACCGGGCTCCCTTCCGCCTCCGCGCGGAGTCCTCGTGCCGCTGCTGCTGGCCTCCCCCTGCTTTGTCCCTGTGGAAGAGCCCGGTCGAGCTCGTTGCCTTCCCTCCCACCGGGCTCTCTCTCCCTTCCGCCTCCGCGCGGAGTCCTCGTGGGCAAGCGGCAGAGCCCAGCCTCCTCTTTCGGCGGCGCCCCGTGAGTAGATTTGCTCGTCCAGGATCGGGAGTTCGGGAAGAAAGACGGCGGGAGAGGGCAATGGAAAGGATTCTTCCCCGCGTAGACGATTAAAAAAAGGCAAATGTAGGATGACCCTGGTGGGTCAGTAAAAAATCTCTCTCTCTCTCTCTCTCTCACACACACACACCCACACACACACACACTGCTCTCTCACACACACACTGCTCTCTCTCACACACAAACTGCTCTCACACACACAGTGCTCTCTCACACAAACACACGCTGTGCTCTTTCTCACACACACTGTGTATATCTATGTGTATTATTCTGCGGACATGGGTTCACCGTTTCTGCAGGTGTGGGTTTACCCACGGTTTTCTTTTAAATGTATTTGTTGTCTATAAGTTGATTCTATGTCTTTCAATGATTTTTTTAAACAAAAACAATGAATACATTGCTGAAATTGTCAAATTTGCCAAAACTGGGTCAACTGGATCCAAATAGTGTAGTATTATTTAGGTGTTGAAGAAATAGCATTAAATGGGAGGACCTGGAGCCAAAAATCTCTTGTTGGTGATTACAAAATCAAGGTGAACTGTAATGTTTTCTGGTTGTATGCCCATTCTTTCCTAATTTTCTGGCCTTATCTCAAACACTTCCGTCTGCCCCTTCTTTTCCTCTTATACCTGGGGACGCAAGCCTCCCTTACGTAGTTGGCTGCCTTCCCAAGGGTCTGTCACCTCCTTTTCTAGAGCTATGCTTTTTGATCCCTCCTTTTTCCTTGTTTCTGTATGATATTATTGCTGGTCAGCAAGTCACTGCAGAGGATTTTCCTCACACAACCCCACCCCACAAGAGTTCTTAGTAATGTACAAAAGGTAAAAGATGTTATCAGAAGTGCAGACACAAAATCTTCTTGCGCTTTGTAAGAAAGAACATTCTGTTTTAGTTTTCCTTGCCCATCACCTCTGGAAACTTTATACAAACTAAATGCAAATAAAACAGCCAGCATTATAATGCCATTGTACAAAATGCTGGTAAGGTCGCACCTGGAGTATTACGTACAGTTCTTATTTATTTATTTATTTAGATTTATACCCCGCCCATCTAGATCAAAGGTCTACTCTGGGCGGTTCTTGTTGCCGCACCTCAAAAAAGCCATTGTGGAAGTGGAAAAGTTGCACAAGAAAACAACTAAAATTAGGACTGGGCTGGGGCACCTCCTTTATGAGGAAAGGCTACAACATTTGGGGCTCTTTAGAGAAGAGGCACCTGAGGGGGGGGGGACATGATTGAAACGTATCAAATTATGCAGGGGATGTATAAAGTGGATAGAGGGAAGCTCTTTTCCCTCTCAAGCAATACCAGAACCAGGGGACATCCACTCCAATTGAGTGTGGGGAGAGTGAAAACAGACAAAAGAAAAGATTTCTTTATCCAACATGTTAATAGTCTGTGGAACTCCTTGCCACAGAATGTGGTGATGACAGCTGGCGTAGATGCCTTTAAAAGAGGATTGGACAGATTTCTGGAGGAAACAACCATTGCAGGTTACAAGGCATGATGGGAGTCTCTAGGTTTAAAAGGAAGCTACCTCAAAATGCTAGTTGCAGGGGAGGGGGATCAGGAGACAGGTAATAGTCATCTTCTGTGCTCCCCGAGGCCTCTGGTGGGGCCACCGTGAGTTACAGGGAGCTGGACTAGATGGGCCCTTGGCCTGATCCAGCAGGGCTCTTCTTATGTTCTTAAGTTTGCATTGAATAAAGTTCTAAAGCATGGCTGGTAAATCTGAGGCATGTGAACTAGAGGGTAGAAACAACTACTCAAATGTTTTGTCATTATCTGTAGGTAGGTAGTCTTTTGGGTAATGAGGATAGAATTACTTTTCATTTGAAAAGGAACATAACAAGATGTTCTAATGTTGTTTTTGGTGTAACAAGTACTGCTTCCTTGTTAATTTCAAAAGTTATTTTTAAAGATCACATTAAGACATTTTTAGAAACGTTTAGCAGGATTTTTAAAAAAAAATTGTGGCATTTTCCATCAATTCAAAGTGGCAAGGGATATGTTTGTTCTTCTCTATTTTTGTAAATATTTTCAATATGTAATACTGGGATTGGCTGAGATAACAGAGTATTTCCCTACATTTTTCTAGCATCCTAGTAAGGACAATGTAATACACAAGGGGATGGATTGCTATTGCAGACTGAGTAAATAGCCATAACTTGACCACCCCAAAGTAATGAATGATGCACTGAGTTCATTCTAAAACTCTTAACACTTTTGTGTCTGTCTTTTGGGACAGGAGTGTGTTGTCAGTTAACTGAGTACATCCTGAAATGACTCCGGCTACCCCCATTCTAGAAGGCTCTACACCATGGCTCTTGGCACCACTAGGAATTTTGATCCTGACTCTTCTTTGGGCTGCATGCAAACTTGGGCTGATCTATCCGTTTTGGCATCAGGTAAAGCACAACCTGGTTGTTGCCTTTAGAGTGCATCATTAGGGAACCAGAAGCCCTTAATTAGGGGTGGGCACGGTTTGAACAACTTAGATTCTTTCCAAAATCATGTCCATACACTCAGATGTGCTGATATTTGCCCTAATTCTTTGTTGTTTAGTTGTTACGTCGTATCCGACTCTTCGTGACCCCATAGACCAGAGCATGCTAGGCCCTCCTGTCTTCCACTGCCTCCCAGAGTTTGGTCAAATTTATGTTGGTAGCTTCGGTGACACTGTCCAGCCATCTTGTCCTCTGTCGTTCCCTTCTCCTCTTGCTCT